TTCATCCTATGACTCTTCACCTCCGTCTTACCTTCCCATTCATGGTGTTCCCAATGAAACCTCCCTTGTCTGCCACAAGATCACAATGACCTATCATTGTTCCTGTGTCCCCCTTTGTACTAAGACCAGACAAACACCATTTTTGTAGGAGTCTTACAGAATCCCAGAGCTTCCTGGGCTGGTTCCTCCATCCCACCAAGAGACAAGCTTCCATGCAAAATACCTCTTCTCACGTTTGCCTGTGACCTGTCTCAGCCACCCCCCCCCCCAACAGGTAGCCTTGGACATATTTGTAGATAAGCTTTTCATAGTTCATAACATTTGTTTTAAAAACCATCATTTTCTGAACTGATATTTTACATGATTTTAATAAAATACTGTAGACTTCAGGAATTTGTAAGGGAGTAATGTTTCATAAACATTGAGAACATCAACTGCCTGAAAACAATGTTTCCATTTCTTTCCCAGTTACAAAACAATAAGGATAGGGTACTGTGGTAGCTAAGGCTGTGTGTCACCTTGGCTGGACCATGGTTTTGAGGCTGGGCAGCTGGACATAGCTACTCTCCACGGTGAGACTGGAAACACCTCCATGGTGCAATCTGCCGTGAGCAGCTAATTAGTTCCCTTCGGAGTGTAGCCTGCTTCTAGTTTTTATGGGCAAGTTTTGGGAAAGGTCTCTCGCTTTTGGCACATTTGGATCCTGCTTTTGGCTGAGTCTTCATAACCAGTGGCCTGCTTGTTGCCTGCTGATCCTGGGATTGTTTCTGGACTTGAACTCGTGGCCTGCTATGCTGCCTTCTGATCTTGGGGATGTGCCATTTTATCTGCTGACCTTGGGTTCACCAGCCTCAGCAGCCAGCAGCTGCCTGAGTTAGGAGACACCTCTAGCTCCTGTGGGCCTGGAAAAAGAGGCAGAGCTGAAGCCCAAGGTCGAGGAGCACTCTGAATTCCGACTTCGAGCCTCCTAAACTGCAAGAGAAGATACATTCTTGTTTGTTAACATCCCCTTATGCTATGTTTGTTACAGCAGCACCAGGGAACCTAAGACAGGTATATAACATGTAGATATCTGTCTAAGAAAACAAATTTCAAGCACACAAAGGCTACTAGTAAACAGATCCTAGAGTCTTTCTGTTATAATCCATAGAAATGAGTCCACATTCCAAAGCTGCCTCACGTTTGTGGGGCATCTGTTTGTTAAGTATTTCAGCAGGAACAGCTTTCCCCACGCAGCTCACTTAGCTTAAAGAAGAGCTCTGGCCACTCCATGGCTCCAATTAAATCCAGAAAATTTTAAAGGAGTTATTTTGTATAATTAAGTGTATACAATGGAGGATGTAGGCTCATCTTAAGAGGCAAGGGACTCTTGCCAAGGATCTGTTTTTTTCCAAGGCCAATTTATTCCTGGGGCTCTTTAGAGTTCCAAAAATCCCCAGCACAATGATAACGGACAGTCTTTTCTCCTTCCTTCCCCTTGGGAATGCGACAACAGCAACAATTCGAAAAATAAAGATTAAGGAGGATCCTGGATGCTCCCAGCACGTGTTGTTTAACCCTCTCTCCCTCAGCCATGATGTTCTTACTCAGCCAGGAACGCTCTTCTCCATGGATGTACCGTCCTCCCAGATTCGCTCAACCATCAATGCTGTTGATGTGACAGAAACCAGACACGAAGAAAGGCAAAAACGAAGACAAACTTGTCCCCACGCCTTTAACTGCTGGGCACAAAGGAGGCCTTTTGGTGTTATTTGTTGGTTTTCACTGGGCCCATCCTACTAAGACTTAGAGAAGAAGGGAGGGACAGGGCCAGTACAATGTCTGGAGGAGCCAGCTGAGGTCCCTGTCTCTTCCCTCAGGATTTGCCAGTGTGGAGAGAGGGACTGGTACTCAACATTCCAAACGTCAACCCAGGAATGCAAAGATCTGGGAGTTACAGCCTTGTGACCTGGTATAATTAAACTGATCATAAAATTATCTATTTGAATAAAATTGCTTGCATAAAAACCTATCATGTTTCTAGAAACCTGGCCTTGTCCTTCCAACCTGATTCTTTTCTTCAGAAGTCTGCTTAGTGCACTTGTGACAAGTTTATCTGTTCAGCCACTCATTCATTCCAGTCTTCACTGAATACCTGCTAAATGCTAGGCACTGTTCTAAATGCTGCGGTTACACAGTGAATAATCAGACAAAACTGCTATCAACGACGGTTTGGTGGGTCCCACGCGGTCTGCTGACTCTGGCCACCATATGAGAGTTTAATTTATGTCACCCAAAGGGTAACCTAGCTATTAGTTATGACCCTGGCATTTACACAAAGTTGTTGGAGACTGCTTTGTCAACGGCAAATACAAGCACATACAAGCTGAAGGTGCAGTGTGACTGCCATTGATGGACACAATTTGCTGATGTCCACCACCTGCAAAGACCAATGAATCCTTCCACCATCCCTGCCCATCCTTGGCACAGTTCCAACCCCTCCCCCAGCATAGACATGCAGCGCCTGTTGCTGGAGGGAGGGATGCTGGGAGGTCTTCTCCCACGAACATGCCTATTCATCAGCCAGGCTGAGACTTGGTAGCCCACGTAGGCTCTGCTGCCCTCCTCCCCACAGAGAAGGCAGATCTACTTACAGCCCTTGTCATGGGTGGATGCGTGTCCCCCCAAAACTGTCCTCAAGTCCTAACCCCGAATGTCACCTTGTTTGGAATTGGGGTCTTTGAAGATGTCAGTTGAGTTGACACGAAGTCACACAGGAGGGTGGCCCTAATCCCATGTGACTGATATCTTTATAAAAAGAGGAGAAGAGAGACAGAGAGACACACAGGAGGAAGGATGGACATCTGAAGGTGAGCTGCAAACCGAGGATGGCCTCGGGCCACCAGAGGCTGGAATGGACAAGAGAGGGTCTTCCCCTAGAGCCTCTGGGGAGAACACAGCCTGGAATTTGGACTGCTGGCCTCCAGAACTGTGAGCTCATCCACTTCTGTTGTTTTAAGCCCCTTGGTGTGTGTTACTTTATTCTGGCAGCCTAGGAAGCTAATACACACACCCACACAGGCAGACACTTTGACCCTCCAGTGGCAGAGGGGAGCCCCGAACCCAACTCTCAGTAGGTGAGGGGCTGTTACGGATTGAATTGTGGCCCCAAACTGTGTGCTGGGCTCCCAGCCCCTGTGCCTGTGGATGTAGCTCTGTCTGTAGATAGGGTTTTATCTTGACAAGGTAATGCCAGTATAGGGTGGGTTCCAAATCTAGTAACTTCTGAGTGATAAACAGCAGACTTGGCACAGAGATACTTGTCACGCACAGAAGACAGAGCCACGTGAGCATCACCGACAAGCCAAGGGAGCAAGAACGGCCAGGGTGACCTATGAGGAAGGAACCAACATGGCCTGGACCCTGATTTGGACTCCTAGCCTCCAGCACTGTGAGGCTGTTCTTTAAAGTGGTATTTCTGTTATGGCAACCCTAGTGACTAAGATGGAGACAATACTAACATCAAAGGCCCCATGTCCCTGGATAGTATGATGAGCACTACAGCTCTACATTCTAGCTGACCTTAAAACCAGTCATCGTTGGCCTGAGGTTTCTGCACATGTAACACTCTTCAAGGCCCAGCCCACACTAAAATCCTGTGACCACAGAACAGTTTCCAAAAGCAAAGTTGAAAAAAATGGTTAGTTGTGGTGGAGTACCAAATGGCTGGCCATGTTGGAGTATCACATGGCTGGTTGCGGTGGACTATGAAATGGCTGCCTGGGCTGGAGTACCACATGGTTGGCTGTGGCGGAGTATCTATCACATGGTTGGCTGTGGTGGAGGAACACATGGTTGGCTGTGGCGGAGTATCTATCACATGGTTGGCTGTGGTGGAGTATCTATCACATGGTTGGCTGTGGTGGAGGAACACATGGCTGGCTGTGGTGGAGTGCCAAATGCTTAGTTGTAACAAAACTCAACCAGAAGCGTTTCCTCCCATTATGGAGGACAAAAATTAAAAAGGAAAATTTGAGCAGAGTGGTTTGGGAAAAACAACAGCACTTGCCACACCAGGCACTGTTCTAGTCCCTGTCTTCTGCAACCTCTTTAATGTTCACATCAACCTTGTGGAATTGGGCTCCACAAACCACTTCCTAAACACTTGGCTGAGCTTTCTCTGATGCTACAGCATCTGTCTACACTGGCTCCATCCACTTATCAACACCATCACATGGTCTCGAGGCAACCAACTAATGTAACCCAATGTTTTTCTCTGTTGTGGTTGGTCTGGGAGGCTGGTGATATCTGACGGCTTCAGGCTATACATGCCTGGCTTCACAAGATGAGTGTGAGACACATTTTGGC